GCTCTGCTCCCAGCCACAGTGAGAGAGAGAGAATGAAGGGAACTGGGGCTTCAGAGATACTGTTATTTTGCAAATTCCTCTCTTCTGGCATATCCCTAAGTGCAGGGGGAAATGCATAATTAGTCTCCCAGCACTGAAATGGCTGGAAGTGACTAGAAGTATCGACTGCTCTAAAGTGGCAGGAAAGGGTGTCCAGATGGATTAAGAGGCTTATCCATAACGGCTTGCTCAGTTTGTGGGGAGAGTTTAAGAGATGATTGCCCCCTTTATGTAAAAGAAATGAACAATGAATCTCTTCCAAATCTCCATGGTCCGCCCAGGGCTGCCTCTGGGCTCTGCCACATCCAGCAGGAACCGCCAGCCCGCCCCGCGCTCAGGGACTCCACAGGGGAGGATCGTGATCGAGGGGGCGCCTACCCTTGCCTCGATGTCGAAGGGCCGGTGTGAAAGAGTTTTGAAAATCAGTTTGTGAAATGTGAATAGCTGCGCAGCCATGGCTTTGTCAGGAAGGAAATTCCGCGCAGATCGCCTCGGCCTCACGATCCCCACCCCGCAACACACACACACGCGCGCGCGCGCGTTGGGTTTGCGCATAATTTCCATAATTTAGTCTGCTCTCGAGGGGACTCTTTTTTGCCGGTAGCACTTTTCAGCAGGTTAAGTTTTTCCTTAACGAATTTTGCTCTTCAGTCTACTCCTACCGCTCAGGTCTTGGTGACAAAGCCCAGGCGGGGAGGGAGGGGGCTTTGGATCCCAGTGACCCAACCCTGTTTCCCTGCTGCAGACACAGAGCCTGCCCCTCTGTGTCCGCCCAGCGGTTTCCTAGAGCCAGACGACTTTGCCTTGGATCAGGTCTGCACGAGGCGCTGCCCAGAGCTTTCCTGAATTCCTGGCACACCTGGGCGCCTCGGGCTGCAGCTGTGGGCACTCGACATTGGTTCTGGTTGCAGGATTTTATTCCTTCGTTCTGAGCCAGTGTGCTAAACGCCTTCAGGACTCATTCTTCAAATTTAGAAATTGAATAAATTGTGATAGTTTTAAGGTGAACTTGAATTTCCCTGGCTCTTGAGTTTGGTGAGTGAGTAGCAAGTTCAGATATCAGGCCGTGAGCCAACAGTGCGCTCAGATCTCTGGTTCTTCCTGGGGACGGGAAGCCGCTTGGCCTGATTCGATATCTCAGAAGCACAGTGGCCGTGGCGGTGGGCTTTGTGAGCCAGCACTTGGACAGCATAAGAGTCATCACCCTGCTGTTTTTATCAATTTACCTTTGGGGAAGACGAGTATATAAAAAAGAGACACAAGGACTGAGCCTTATTCACTTGGGAAAGAATTGCAAGGGTCTTTTCTAAAGTTGCAAACCACTGTCTTGAGTTTTCACCACGGGCCACACGCTGCAGCCATAACTCAGTTGCCTGCATACTAGTTCTTGAGGTCAGCTAGTGCCACCATGCTGGTCACCTGAGAGGAATCGTTGGTTTGGGAGGCTCCGCGGTTGCCCGGGCTCAGCGTGCCTGTTCACCTTCCTAAAGGCCCCCGTCAGTGCCGTCTGTGCTGTCCCAGCTCTGCATGTCTAGTGCTTTAGTGACCCCATCTGCTTGTTAGAAGTGTTGCGCACCCCATTTCCTAAAATCCTTACACTGTCTCCTCTCTTTGCAGATACCCTGTTCCAGTTGAAGGTATGTACTCTGGCCGTCAGCCCCAGCCCTGCCCTGGTGGGTAGTGTATGGGGACGATGGTGGAAGTCGCACTCAGAGAGACAGATTATAAACTGGGTGACCTCTGCACAGTGCTCAGGCAGACCGATGACGGGATTATTGAGTCGGCGCGGTGGCATGTTCTTTCCTGTCGGGCTGAGCAGAAGCAGGCCTGGCTCACCTGTGAGAGAGTGGGCATGCTGTCTTGAAGGGACATAGTGGGTGTCAGGCGCCTCCTTTGATGTCCCACGTGGCAGTTAACACTGTAGCTTGCATCCTCGAGGATCACGCTGAAGGAGGGCACGTGGGCGCCTGAGCAGCTGTCTGGGTGGCGTGTGTGCTTCTTGAATAATGGAGGCGGTGTCCTCATGGTCACCCTCCGTGGCTGCTTCTGAAGGATGGCAAGACAGGTGTGTGCGAGCTCCTGCTGCTCTCAGCACGCTGGCTTTGCCATGGAGAGGACAGGCAGAGGGTGTCTTGGCCTGTCCGCAGCCTCAGGCACTTGGACGGCACCAGGGTAGGTGGCTGGGGCCAGGCTCAGGGCATGGAAGCTTGTATCTTTTAAGGAACGCGGGGCGTGAGGTAGACAAGCAAGAAGCCCCCTTCTGTGTGACAAAGTCTCAGTGCCAAGTGTGTGGGGGACTTGGGCTGTTGAGAGGGCCTGAGGGGCCGGTGGGCCTGCCCAGGCAGGTGGGTGTCATAGGCTGGGACACCGCTAGCAGGGCCAGAGGTGGGAGACCGTGGGCATTGGGGAGCTCACTTAGTCGCTTGGCTCACCTGAGCATTCTCCCCTGTTGGTTTCCTGGCCAAGTGAGGCCTGTTTGGGGGGTTTGGAGGCCTCTGGGAGGGAGGGCCTGTGAACAGGGTCGAGGCCGCCGGCAGCCGGGGTGGGTGAGGTCATGCATAGAGTTGCTGCCGCCGCCACTGGCAGTGGCCCCCAAGGCACCTGGCCAAGAAGTGGTCTTCGTGTGGAGGCAGTGGGAGCTGCCTGGGGCCCGTGTGAAGGAGGGACGTGGCCACATGTGCACTTTGGCCATTTGGGGGCTGTTGGGAGAGTGGGGGAGGGGTGAGACTAAAGGCAGGTGGCCTGTGAGGACAGTGAGGCGAGGTGGATGTGGCAGGGATGAGGAGGACAGGACAGGGCACCGAGCTTTAGAGGTAAAGGGGGCAGGGCATGGTGTGTGTGGGGGGAGGAGGCCTGCCTTTCCAGCCTGGGGGACAGGGTGTCCTGCCGGGGTGCCCAGTGTGGGTAGCGTGGCCTCAGTTCTGCAGAGCAGCGAACAGGTGGGGCTGCAGATGTAGGCGGGGCCAGGGTCCTGTCCACCTGCACTGGGCAGCGATGACTCTTAGGTTGGCGCTGCCCACTGCCGGCCACGGCGAGCACTTGAGTTTAAGCAGTCACGTGTGGCTGGTGCCTCCCGCCCTGCTCGGTGTGGGTTTAAAGAGCTCGTAGAAAAGGAACGAGGTCAGTGTCTGCTGCTGCAGACGCTGGTTTCAAAGCACCTGGCGAATGAGTTGGGTGACGAGGAGTTGGGGGGTGACCTTTGAGAGGAGCCCTGTGCCCTGAGCCCGGCAGTCGGGAGCATTGATGTCAGGGTTAGACCATTGCAGTAGGTGGCAAGGGTCATTTGCCCGACGGCCAGGGTTTGCCCGCTTGTTTCGGCACGCGCAGGGGCTGAAGAGCGCGAGGCCGTGGGCGAGGGACGGTCTGAGGCAGCAGGGCTTGTGAGGCCAGTTGGCCGACACCCATGGCCAGTGTGCCCTCTGCCTGGGCAGAGAAGCCAGCAGGCGACCAGTCGGGCTTGCTGGGAGGCAGCGCTGCGGAGAGGGCTCCTGGCGGTGGGATCAGCCTTTGCTCGCAGAGAGGCCCGTCCATGGAGGACAGCGCCGTCCACTCCTGACCAGCGTACGGGTGGACGTGCATTCGAAGCAGACGCCCTCACCTGGGTGACCCACTTAGTCTGTGATTTTTCTGTGGGTGGGACTGACTGACCAGTGAGAAGATGCCCTCAGGAGGGCGGTACTTGCAGGGGCAGGGCCGGCAGCCCACCCTCCATGCACCACACCTGGCAGATGGGGACCGGGCTTCGGCCTGCGTGAGCCGTGCGGCTGGCCTGTCCTCTTCGTTCCAGACAGGGGTGGCCAGAAGGGGCACAGAGGAGGCTCGCTTAGCGCGGGCGTTGGCCAGGAGGCGCCAGGAGCTGGCGCGCTGTCCGCAGCCCCTCACGGGCGCGGTGCTCTGTGAAGTGAAGCTTCAGGGGCTCCTCCTCTGGCTTCTGGGTTGTACTTGGGGTGGCCTGGACAGTCCGCCCAGCTTTTCTAGGAAGTTGAGAATCCGTCCGCAAGCAGAAGCCTTCCTTCCACTCCAGGGGGCGGGGGTGGGGGAGCAGACATTTAGGGAACCCTCATGGCCCCTCCCTGGCAGGCGACAGACAGGGCCCCTGGTGCAGCCCCCAGGGTGGAGCGTGCAGGGCCCGCTGGGGGCTTGGTGCCTGACCCTGGCTCCCGCCTGCCTGTGCTCAGTTCACAGCGAAGCAGCTGGAGAAGCTGGCCAAGAAGGCGGAGAAGGACTCGAAGGCAGAGCAGGCGAAGGTGAAGAAGGTGAGGCAGCGCCGCCCTCCCGCCCTCCCCGCGGTGGCTCTGTCCCCCCAGGCGTCCCGAGCAGAAGGGCCACGCAGTGCCTGTGCTGCCTCTGAGTGACCGGGCCTTTATTCGTTTCCCGTGTTCCGAACTTGCTTTGTCACGTTGCATGGGACGTGGGCTTCGGCCGCCACCCTCCACCCCGTCTCTGTCAGCTGTCTTCCCTGGGAAGCAGGTGCCTCGGCGTCGGAGCCTAGCAGAGCGGAGGCTCCCAGGGCCCTGTGCCCAGCAGGGCCTCTCCAGGGAGGACGGGGGAACTATGACAGCTGTAGGGTGCAGGTTTTGGGGTTGGCGACCTGTCACCAGTGGCGGCTCCTGGGGCAGAAAGGAGGCCAGACAGTGGGCTGCAGGTCTGCGTCCTTGTCTTGCTCTGCCACTGTGACTCCCTCGGCGTCAGGTCGCCCACGCTGCTCTGTGCAGGTGACAGTATGAGGCCGAGTCGCCGTGGGCGGGAAGGGGCCGGGAAAGGTAGCCGTATTTTCCCGGGCATGGGGCCTGGGCCTCCGCATGTTTGTGAAGTTCACGGACGCTCCTGGCGGGAAGGCCCGCCGAGGGCTGGCAGGCGCCCTGGGGAGGCCGGCGTCCTCCAGCCTGCATGTCCCGGCTCCCAGGCCCTGCAGCAGAAGAGCGTGGAGTGTGCCCGTGTGTACGCGGAGAACGCCATCCGCAAGAAGAATGAGGGCGTGAACTGGCTGCGCATGGCGTCCCGCGTGGACGCGGTGGCCTCCAAGGTGCAGACGGCCGTGACCATGAAGGGGGTGAGTGCTCGACCCAAGCTGCATCTGCTGCTGCCGCCGGCAGAGGCCAGGGCTGGCCATGGGGGAGTCGTCACACCAGGCCCCTTTGCCCTGTGGTGGGGACTCCGTCCACATAGCAAGTGCAGTGCCAGAGAAGGCACGGCCCCAAAGACCCACGGTGTCCTTGGACTTTGACCACGTGTCGTGACCGGGGCTCCTCGTATCCATCGGGTCATCGATGGCACTTCCTGGGGACATGCCAGCAGCGGCCTGAGCCCAGCTCTGCTCGGCCTGGCCTGGGGGCTTGTCGACCTGGGTGGAGCTCAGGGGGCCTGTCCCTGGCGGGTGCCATTATTTCCTTTCATCCTATTGTCTCTCCACCCCCCATGCCAGGTGACGAAGAACATGGCGCAGGTGACCAAAGCCCTGGACAGAGCTCTGAGCAGCATGGACCTGCAGAAAGTGTCTGCGGTGATGGACAGGTTCGAGCAGCAGGTGCAGAACCTGGACGTACACACGTCGGTAGGTGCAGAACCTGGATGTACACACGTTGGTAGGTCGGCCCGGGGCCAGGCGTGAGGGCAGCTCACATGGCTAGCCACGCACGTGTCCCCTCCCTCGTGTCACCAAGTGTCCTCTGCTGGGCCCTGTGGGGGCCGCCTCCAGGGTACCTGACCCTTGTCAGGGTCCAGACCGCATACAACCCTAGCAGACGTGATGCCTGGGGCCGGTGCTGACGCTTAGGAGTGGGGCTCGGACCAGCCTCACAGGCAGCAGCTTGGCTTGGCACCCAGAGGCCTGAGCAGGCCGGGGACGTGGTCTCGGACGCGGGAGCAAGGAGGCTGGTGTGGGCGGGAGGAGCAGGGCGAAGCAGAAAGGTAGTCGAAACGGGGTGATCGGAGCAAGGGCTGATGGGCCTGTCAGGCTATGGGGGCTGCGGGGGCTCCAGGGTCCGGGCCCAGCCGCCCAGAAACTGACCACCCCCAGGTGATGGAGGACTCCATGAGCTCGGCCACCACACTGACCACGCCGCAGGAGCAGGTGGACAGTCTCATAGTGCAGATCGCAGAGGAGAACGGCCTGGAGGTCCTGGACCAGCTCAGCCAGCTGCCCGAGGGCGCCTCTGCTGTGGGCGAGAGCTCTGTGCGCAGCCAGGAGGACCAGCTGTCACGCAGGTGGGTGGTGTGCTGTGCCCCAATGTCCCGTGTGTCCCGTAGGGGGAGGTTGTGACCAGGAGTCCTCCCCCCCACCCCCGCGCTGCCTCTGGGCCCCTCACCCTCGCTCATGGAGCCACTGTGGATTGTAGGCTGGCCGCCCTGAGGAATTAGCGGGACCCTCCAGGGTGCCACCTCGCAGCTGGATGTGCAGGAACCCAAGAAGGAAAGCCCATCCACACCTGCTACGTCCTGCCTCTCTGCTGACCCTGCAGCAGCAGCCGTTGACCTCACTGCCCTCAGCCCCTGTCACCGCCAGCCTGGGGCGTGTCCTGTTCTCTTAGGCTGGGCAGGGGTTCCCTGTCCTGGTGGGTGCGTTTGCACAAACTTCTGTTTTGTGGGTAATTTCTGTGACCCTGTGCCAACCAGCTGGAGGATCTGCAGGCTCCTTTCTCTCCCCCACCCTCCAAGGAGTCGATGGGGACTGGGTAGTGGACGGCGTGTGGTGGCAGCTGGCCGAGCCCCGCCGGGTGCCCAGCTCCGAGACCAGGTGTGTCTACTCCAGGAGCCATGTCCTCTTTCCACTGCCGCCTCTGGAGGGCCCAGGTGCACCCTGTGACCTCTCAGACCCCAGAGTGTGTGCACAGGCCCCTCCTGGCCACCGAGCAGGCCACCTTGTGGTCCTCGGTGTCGTCCCTGTTGCTGTCTCCTGGCCCTGTAGGTTATGGGCGCTTCTCCAGGCTGGTTTCTCTTGCCTTGCGTGCTCACAGCATTGACCTTGAAGCCAGGCTGGCTGATGGGGGCTCAGGACAGCCACCTTCAGGCCACGCCCAGGAGGGAGCAGCCGCACTCATGGTGATATGGTGATGGACGGGCTGTAGTTTCTGTTTTTCTAGTTCCTGATGTTTACTTTGTTTTCTTGAAGATGTTTTGGGTTTTTTTGAGAGTTTTGGGGTGGGTTTTTTTGTGGGTTTTTTTTTTTTGCCAAAATAGAAGGAGCCAGTGGCGGATGGGGAGCGTTGGGCCTGAGCGCCCCCCTGGCATGACCTCGTGGCAATTGCATGGCTAGTACTGACGGAGGCCGGCTCCGTGCACAGTGACCGTTCCCAACCAGGCCTTTCTCAGAGGCTCCAGCTGTCTCGTCTGCCCTCACGCAGTGGCTCTTGCAAACAGAATATTGTAGACTTTTATCTTGACGTCCGCGTGTGCCCCTTCTTGGACTGGGGAGCCCAGGGTGCTCCGTGCAGTGCATGGTGTTGGGGCGGCCCTGCTGGGCCCTGGCTGTGGGTGCGACCTGAGGGCGTAGGCTCGGGGGGCTGTCTGGCGTTTGTCCTGCAATGCCGGCCTTGCCTTACATCCTGGCCTTGGACCATCGGGGCGCCCACATGCTGGGGGTCCAGAGAAGGTCCTTGGTGTCCTGGTCCCCAGCTGGGGAGAGGCCAGGGCTCATCGGAGGGCACTGGGCCTGTTTGCCCTTTGCCTAAAATGCTGTTGTAAGTAAACTAATTGACCCCTGAGAAAGCTCTCTGGTTTTCTTTACTGGCCTTAGGGTGGGGCTTCCCTCAGTGGCTGGCTGGCTTCCCACAAGGGAAGCTGAGGGGAACGGAAGCAGGCCGTTGTGGGGGATACAGGTTCTCGGGCCCCACCAGATAGCAGGGATCAGAGAACGCAGTTTTAATTTTCTTTTTAAGTCTTACCTGGAGATAACTCACCCTACATGAGAGTGGCAGAGTGCGCACCTTGGTTGTGTCAGCGTGTCACTTCCCTTTCTGGGTGGCCGTCTGTGAGCAGGAGGCCACCAAACGTGACTGCACACATCCCAGCACAGGCGAGACCCCCAGCCCCTGACGCCCTGGGCTGCCCATGTGGGGGTGTGGCTGGGTGTCATGGCGGAGTCTGAGGGAAACCTCCTCCTGCCCATCAGGCTGAGCCCACCCCGGAGCCCAAGCCCGCGCCTGCCCAGCGCCGTGTCCTTGGGCCTGGAGGTGCAGCAGTGACTCATCAGGGCCCCGCCTGGGGCTGTCACCAGTGGGTTATCCGTCTCAGGGCACATCACCGGATGTCCATTGAGGGCTGCTGGACTCCTGCCCTTCTGATGATGCTCTGCAGCTCTGCTGGGTGGGGCCGGGTGGGGCCAGGCCACGGTGTGTGAGGGGACCCTGCAGGAGTGGGCCCTGCGGAGCTGCGGTGTGGGCACGTGTGTGAGTGCATGTGTGTGGGTGTGTACCTGTGTGTACATCGTGCAGCTATGTGAGTGGTGTGTGTGCAGGTATGTGGGTGTGGGTTTGCTTGCATGCGTGGGTGTGTAGAAATGCCCCTGTGCATATGTGTGCAGTTGTGCACGAGTGTGGTATGTGTGCAGATGTGTATGGCTGCACGTGGATAATAGGCCATAGGGGTGTGTGTGCAGGTGCGTGTGCAGGTGTGTATGGGTGTGCGTGGATAGCAGGCTGTGGGGGTATGTGTGGGGGGTGCTGGAGCCCGGCCCATGTGTTTTAAAGGCCCCCCAGACTGTCCGTGCAAAGCCCTGTTCCCGGCCCTGCCCTTCCACGACTCGGGCGCTCCTGGCTCTGAGCATCCGGCCGGGGCAGTTGCACAGAGCTGCTGTGGGGCGCTCAGGCTCCCCCCGCCCAGGGCCAGGGGACCGACGGCACACACCCACAGGACTCCTGGGGTCACTGCCTTTATTGAGGGCCCACCATGGGCCTGCGCCCCAAGCTCTCCACAGCATGCCCCCATGGGGCCCAGGGGCCTGTGCGTAGGGCAGTGCTTCTGGAGCCTTGGCTGCTCCCAGGCCCAGTCTTCCCTGACTTCGGAGCCTGAGGGGTTGGTCCCCAGGGTGTCACAGAAGACACAGGCTGAAGAGGAGGGGCACGAGGGAGGCCAGCAGAGTTCCCGGTGGGCGGTGGAGGCTGGGGGCCCCGGAGTAGCCGTACGTAGTCCTGCAGGAAGCCTCCAGCTTGTCCAGTGGGATGGGCTCTTCCTCGGGTGTTTGTGTGTGATCACTTGCCTGGGGACAGACACAGGTCGTCCCCGGCCTGTCTCCTGCGTGGGGAGGGGCTGGGCGCAGGAGGCAGCTCCTCACCTGCTCCACGGCCTCAAAGACCCTCAGCAGATTTTCAGCCAGGGCGCCCTTGACCTCCTCCTCCGTCCACTGCCTCCTGAGCAGCTCGGCAATCAGGTCCGGGTACTTGGACACGTCCTCAAGCCCTGTGGGGAGCCTGGGACGCAGGCAGAGAGGACCAGGTGTGCAGGCCATGGGCCTGGGACTGGGGACCAGGGCCTGTCTACCCCCCCGTGAGCCACTGACCTGCCTCACCCCCATCCTCAGGCTCAGGGGCCAGGGGAGTGGCCTTCAGAGCAAGACATGTTGGTACGGCCCGTGGGACACACTTCTTTCCAGCCCCTCAGGACATGTTCGTGGGGGGGCCGGGACCCTGCCAGCTCATCCATAGGACACAGCTTTGGCCCTTACCTTGAGACGCCATCGTAGTCCCCACCAAAGCCCACCGCTCCGGCTCCTGCCACCTTCTTGATGTAGTCCAGGTGGTCTGGCGGGGGGGAGCAGCAGGTATGGGTGCTGGGAGGGGTGCCCTGCTCGGCCGCTCGGCCGCTCACTCCCACTTACCTGCCACTTGGGACAGGTTGGCCTCTGCTCTGCAGGACACGTAGTCATTGTAGAAGTTCACCATCACCAGGCTGCCCGTCTGGTTCTGCACAGGACAGAGGAGGGGCTGTGGGCACCACACGGGGCACCAGGGACCGTGGGGACCATGGGGACCGTGGAGGCCGAGCGGACGCCCTCACCACCAGCTCAAGCACGTCGTCTGGCACGTTGCGCCGGTGCCCACACAGCCTGTAGGCCGAGGAGTGGCTGAAGATGACGGGGGCCTTGGACAGCTGCAGGGCGGCTTTCATGGTGGCCACGGACACGTGGGCCAAGTCGATGATGACGCCCAGCCGGTTCATCTCCTTCACCACGCTCTAGGGGAGACGGGGCTCGGGACCAGGCCACAGGAGACATGCACTCTGGGGCGGGCGGGCGCACGGTGCGTGCTTGTGCTCGCCCGGCAGCCTGGGGTTCGCTGCAGCACCCCGGAGGTCCAGGCACGGGGGAGGGCGTTTGGGCCGGGGCCCCTTGAGGCCAGGTGTTGATAAACTCTTAGCAGCTAGAAAGTTGGGACCACACTGTTGACCAGTGGGTTCCAGCTGGACGCCCACCCTGGGGCCACCCGTGCCAATGCCATTTGCAGATGAACAGGCCTGCAAGGTGAGATGCCATGTCCTGGGTCATGTCCCCTCTGATGGTGACCGCGGTCCTTGCCCCCCACTCACCTGCCCAAAGGACGACAGGCCTTGGCTCTGGGCCTTATCTTCCCCCGTGTCTACCAGCCAGTTGTCGGCCCTGGGAGGAAGGAGGGCAGAATGGCCATCGCGGCCTGCCCATGTCGGCCGTACGCAGAGATGAAGGGGATGGGGCCCACCCACACCTTCCCCTGGGCGCGGCCTCCCTGGGGCCACTCACCAGGGTGTGTTGCAGCTGTGTGTGAGGGTCAGATACCGCATGCCCAGGTGGTAGAGCGCCCGCAGGACGCCCAGGCTGCTGTCGATGGAGTGGCCGCCCTCCACGCCGACCAGACTGGCCACCTTGCCCTCCTGGAAGGCCTGTCGGATGCCTGCGAGCAGAGCCCAGCCAAGTGGTGGGCATCTGGATGGCAGCTGTGCCCGAGCCTCTGGCTTAACCCCGTGGAAGGCCAAGCCGCACCATCACCTCGGCTTGGGACAAGGGCAGAGGTGGGTGGGGCCCAGGGAGGTGGGCCGGGACCCACCTTCGCTGCTGGTGACACACAGGAAGGTCTCAGGGTACATCTGGCACATGCGGTGGATGACGTCGATCTGCTCCAGCGTCCTCTTCACGGCATCTTTGTTCTGGGTGTCGCAGGGTGTGTACGCAGACCAGAACTGGGGGCCACAGGCACAGGGACTAAGACCTCAGGCCCCAGGCCCACCCCCCACACGTACGAGTGAGTGTCTCAGTCCCCTCCTGTCCTCAAAGCCATCCCCACAGCCTGGGGCCTTATCAGAGACCCCTCCAAGGACCTGTGGCCCCAAGGGGGTCGGAGGTATGCTGCCACCAGGGAGGGGCCGCACCTTGCCCAGGACCTGAGGGAGAAGGGTGGACCCCAACATAGGCAAGTGCAGAGGCCGCCGGCGTACCTGGCCCCCGACAAGCCCGGCCTTCAGCTTGGGGATGTTGGTGTGCGTGTGGGCCAGGCTGGTCAGGTTGGCCCTCGCGTCCCGCAGCTGGTTGTTGAAACTGGTCAGCAGCTGCCAGGGCAGGTCATTGTGCCTGCAGGCCGGAGCAGGGTGGGAGGCGGGTCAGGTGCCACTTGGACCTGGGGCCTCCAGGTGCCCTCCCTGGCCTCCCTTCCGCTTTACTTCCGCTTTTCACGGCTTGAGGCCAGGGTCACAGACTGCTCCTTACCTGAATACACCTGAGCACAGGCGAGCTGCTCAGCTGTGCCCCACCCCTAGGCCAGTCGAGAGCCCTGCATGGGTGGGTCTTCCCTTCGAGAGCCTGTCCTGGGTAAACCCTGTGCGTGGAGGCAGCACAGGCCCCTGGTGGCTGTTTAAAATGCAGAGTCGCAGGCCCAGCCAGGCCCACCAGCAGGCATCGGACCTTTAACCAGTGAGCTTGCACACGTGCACACACCCACACATGCACACATGTGACATGTACACAGCAGCCACACGAGCACATGCATGCACATGAGTGTGCACACATGCACACCCAAACTGGACATCTAGGCAGGCGCCCTCAGCCCCCTAATCTGTTCACAAGGAGGCTATGTGGACGGCCTGAGCCCGAGTGGGGGCTTTGTTCTGAGGATGCCTGGGGCCTCCTGGTGCCACCGTGCCCCTCCCCCAAAGCCATGTTTTCTTGTCTGAGCGCCACCGCAGACCCTGGGAGCTGCCCCTGCTCTCTGGGAAGGGCTGGGGGGAGGGACTCCGAATTGTGGTTTGATTGACAGGTTGGGGAGTGGGCTGGGAGAGGGATCATTTGCTGACTGAGGGATCCAGCAGGGCGAGGCCACAGCCTCTCTGCCGGGCTGGGTGTTGTCCCTGGGACGGGCAGGCGTGGCTTCCGGTGGGGACTTCACTCCTTTGCCTGAGGAGCCCCAGCCTGGCTAGGAAATCCAGCCCCCGCTTCAGCTGCCACCCAGGGCCTGCAGGAGGGAGGGTGAATTCACTGTCTCTCCTCCCCTCGGTCTCTCCACCCGACGGAGGAGCCCAAGCTGAGGACAGAGGCTGCATCTGCCCTGGGCTGCACCCTGCTAGTCTGGGTCCGCCCGATCCACCCTTCTTATCTGTGTGGCCTGGGCAGCGTCCTCAGCAGTGGTGACATCGTGCAAAACCCAGAGGCACCTGCCGGGCAGTGACGGCCGCGTGCTCACGGGGCGCTCTCCATGGCGCCCAGAGGAAGTGCCAGGGGCCAGGCACCGCGGCCCGAGCTCGGTCTGCGAGAACCAAGAGCTGCTCTCGGCCTGCGGGGCACCCACGTAGCGCAGAAAGCAGGACAGCGGGCTGGCAATGCAGGGTCTGCGCAGGGGACCGGAGAGGCCCACGGCTGCCGTGGGCCTGAGCACCGCCCTGCCGGAGCCGAGGGCAGGGACAAGGACACAGGCCAGGCAGGGATGGCATGAGGCCTGCCAGGAGCATGGAGGAGTGGGGGTGGGGTGTGGGCCTCGGTGGCTGGGACTTAGTATCCAGACTGACTCCCTTTGGCTGCTCAGGCCAGACCTCGGCCAGAGGAAGCAGCGGAGAGTCAGAGGCTCAGGGATGCCCAGCACGGGGCGGGGGGGGTCAGTGCAGATGCATTGGCAAGTGGAGGGAACAGGCGCTGCCAGGTCGGCTGTGACCTCAGTGACAACGTGTCACCAAATGTGTCACCAGGGTCTTGGCTGGAAGTGGGGCTGCAGGAGTGGGCATGTCACGGGCTCAGTCTGGGGTGTGACATGTGACAGGATGTCAAGCACTGAGTGAGGTCAAGCTGACTCAGCACCTATGGGGTCACCCCCAGGTGGATGCTGGAGAGGGAGGGGCCTGAGGAAAGGGTCTCCGGGAGGAGGGTCCAGAGGGCCAAGAGGGGCCTCCCAGGAGCTTGTGGTGGATGTCACCCTCGCCTGCAGCATCAGGTGATGGAAAGCTGTGGCCTGCGTGAAGCATGACCTCGGCCAGGCCCCCAACGTCCCCGGCCCCAGCTGCCACTCTATGCTGGGACCTGGCCCACAGGGTGCAGCGGGGGCCAGGTTGTGGGGTGCTCCCTAACTGCTCCATTTTCTACAGGCCTTCATCTGCTGAAGCCTTTGGGGGCCCTACGAGACCTCACAAAGGCCGCTAGTGAAGGGCAAGGCCCACGTTACAGCTGGAGAAACCGAGTCAGTCCAGGTGGAGCTGGGGTGGCGCCTGCCTTGAGTCAGGGGCATTGGCCTTGCTCGTGGCCTTGCTCCTGGCTGCCCCAGCCCCAGGCCCCAGCCCTGTCCCAGGAGGGGCCGCTTACCCATCAATGACAGGTGTGCCCTGCATAATCCTTTCCGCCTCTTCCCGGAACTGGTCTGCAGTGCAGATGGCCACCAGGGGCCAGAGCCACCAGCTGGTCCACATGACAGTTTGCAGGGGCCCTGTTGCGCTTCTGTCGCTGCTCTGGCCCGTGCACGAGAGGACAACCTGGGTTCCGGAAGCGGGGAGCACAGAGGCCTTTGCTCAGGTGACTGTTGCCAGGAGCCGCCTTTTATCAGCAGTCAGCACATTCCCGGCGAGGGCGGGTGGACGGGAGTCCCAGACAGAACCGGGGCTGGGCGTCGCTGTCTGGACCAGGCTGAGGGGTAGTAAGAAGCTGCTGCCCCCCGGGGACTGGGCCACGGTGCAGGTGGAGGGTGAAGCTCAGAGGTGGCTGGGTCAGCCTCCCCCAGGACGGGGCCACCGATATCTGCATGCGGGAGCTAGAGTCACACCACAGCTCAGCCACCCACCAGGGGGTCTGCCCCTCGGTCCTGGCTGGCAGCCCACCGGCCTCGCAGGGATCCCGCTGCGGGCTCTGACGGAGCGGGTCGGACTTCGGGGCTCAGGTCCCAAGTGCCAGCGCCTGCTCAGAGCTGGAGCCCTCTCCCCGTCCTCCCCCAGACTCGCCCAGGCGAGTCTCCAGAGCCCAGGCCCCAGGCTCGCCTGCTGACCTCCGAGGTCTGCCAGCCCCAGTCCTGCCGACTCGGGCTCGGCCCTCCCACCTCTGTGACTACAGTGGCCCAGGGCGAGGGCGGGGAGTGTGAGGCACCCTCTCGGGGCCAGCTTCACAGTGAGGCCACGAAAACCTCAGTCATCGAGGCAAGCAGTGTTTCAACGCAACATTTAAAACATAAATTCACACAAAAATAGTCCTCGATGACCAAGAGAAAGGGCCAGCTGTCCTTCGGCCTGGCTCCGACACGGCTCCACACGCTGCAGTGTCTTGGGACTCTGTGTTCTGCCTCATGGCTTCAGCCACAGACGGCTCTTGAGAACTGCTGACCGGGCAGCTTCTCTGGGCTCGGCCGCGGGGGGGACTCCGCGGGCCCCTTCGTTGCGCTCTGCGAGTCCTTCTGCAGCTGGCTGTGGAGGCTGATCCTCGCACGGCCCTGGCAGTGGCTCGTGGGGAGGGCGTCCCCAAGTCCGAGGGTCTGTGTGCCCCTGCGCCGGTCAGCGCTCTGCCGGGTGCGAACTTCCGGGCTGCAGGCCAGTCCCCCGGAGGCTGGAAGGCCCGGGGGTCGTGCGCGCCGGGCTGTCACAGGGTGGCATCAGTCTGAGTCCCACCTCTCTATGACATGACCCGAGCCACCATGTCGTCCTCCGGGTCCTGCAGCTGGTCTCACACGGCTGGCTCAGACGCAGGGCTGCTGGCGGGAGTCCCGCTGCCTCTGTCCGGGGCCGTCCTGCGCCGCCGCGGGCCCCTCTGCGTCTGTCCCTCACTCTGCGTCTGTCCCTCACTCTGCGTCTGTCCCTCGCGCTGCAGCTCCCAGGGCCCTCGCCCTGCTCCGGGAGCGTTTCTGTCCTGCCGGAGGTTTTCTCCCGTGTTCCCTCCGCGCTGCGAGGTGGCCTCGGTCTGGTCTCCTGCTTGGCACCTTCTTGGGGGACCGTGTATCTACTCGCTCAGTGGTCTCTGGTGGATTTCCGTTGTTTCCGCCCCTGCTCCGGGTTCTTCATGGAAACGGTGTTGCCTGGCGTCAGGGTTCCCGCTGGCTGCTTGGTCCTCCCCAGGACTCACTTTTCGTTGTTTGTTTATCTGGACCTTCCCGTGCGCTCGCAGCCTCCTCAACCGGCTGGCGACCTGTGCTGCGTCCAGTCCGGGGCTGAGGGTGCGGCGATGGCGGGGCCGGCTGTGCCCCCCCAGGGTTTGCGTAGAGCGAGCGAAGGTGGGGGGTCCAACGTGAGCACGAGGCCTCATGGTGCGGCGCCTCGTTCCCGCTGCCTCTTGTTCTGGTGGCCGTGGGCGGCACCCTCCTCTCATGTCACCGTGCCGTGGTGAGGCTCGGGGAGGCAGAGGCCGTGGGATTTGGCGCAGTTGGGAGGGGACTCGTGCTTTGCAATCAGCAGCCCCGGTGCAGACGCCTGGCCGTGACAGGTGGCAGTTTCGGCAGACGCCACAGGAGCCTCGCCCAGCCCGCATGCCGTCCTTGTAGCATGGCTGACCTCTCTCCCCAGGCGGTGGCAGGCGTGACTCTGAGCTGCCACCGGGCTCTGTCTCCTGGATCCCCCTGAGACCTTGGCATAGCCATCCTCACCGACAGCCCCAGCTCGGCTCGGCTTCCGCTTTCGTAGCTGGGGTCCCTGAGCACTGATGAATTTGCAGCTCGCAGGCTGGTGGCTCCTCCAGGCCCTCTCGGTGGCCCTGCTCCAGCCTCAGGCCCCCGGGGGGGGCTGTATGCCTCGCTGCCTGGGACCCTTCTATTTGCCTGCTGGCGGGTCCCTCTCTTGAAGACTCCCCAGAGGAGGGTGGCTCAGCCTCCCCGACCCAGAAGCCAGCCTCTTTCCCCTCTGCCTGGCATCAGTGTCCCTTGCTCTATCTTGCCCTCTGTGCGTCACCCGAGAAGCCCAGAACCCCAGCCTGTCGAGTCCTCCCCATCCCGACCCACAAAGCACTCACCTGTCTCCTCCACGTCAAGCTCAGAGGCCTCCCTGGACATACAGCAGGTGCCCACTGATGGACGCACCCCAAACCCTCCCTATGCCTGGTGGCTCTGCAGTGCAGGAGTCACAGAGCCAGGCCCTTGGTCTACCTCGGCTCCCCAAAACTCACCCTGTGCCGGAAGGGTGCTGAGTGCGGCTGGAACCTGCCTCGCGGTCACCCTGCTCCCAGATCACGAGGCTTGGGAGTTCGTGGCTGTTTTTCTCAAGTTCCATCCCTCCCCTGAATTTTCCAGCCAGCTTCCCTTGCACAAAAAAGCCACCTCTTTAAAAAAAACTTCCCCCCAGGGGCTTCACAGTGCCCCACCGTGGCCACAAGCAGCAAGGGGCTTAATGCCTCACACATGTCAGCTGGTTCTGGTTTCTGCAGACGCAAATGATGCCTCAGTAGGGCGTACACTCGGCCCGGGGCACGCAGGACAGAGGGCCTGGGGTGGTGACAGGAATCGAGGTGCCCCAGGCGGTGATGGGGGCCGCCTCGGGCTGGCATCCCGCGTTGTGTGGGAGGGCGATGGGAAGTAGCTGTAGGGCTCCCTCGCATCCCTGACATCAGCGGCCTAAGGCCAGGGACGCAGCCCAGGTGTTTTCTGTCAGTGGCCTGCCCCGCCCCCCACCTTGCTCCCCGGGGCCCCTGTCCCTGGCTGAGGACCAGTCAGCTGGCTGGATCTGGCCAGGGGGCTAGGGCCTGGTTAGACCATGTAACGGGTTGGGGGCTGATCTCCCACATTCCTAGCCACGGGGGATCAAAAGCGGTCAGGGATCGGAATGCGGAATGTCCTCTGGCAGAACTGCAGGGACTTTCGAAATCAAGGAAGCTCTGCTGCGTGGGGACCGGCCTGGCTGGGGCTGGTGGCTTCAGCATTCTGAGGCTGGGGCAGGGCACACCCTGGTGGGGTGGTGGGCGGCAGGCCATCCTGTTCCCAGCTGGGTGGGGTCACTTTGGGAACACACAGCCCCCACTCCGGCCCTCCCTCTGCCCTGCCACTCTCTGAGTGGGGACAGCCCCAGTCTGGGCACTGTGTGGGAGGGAGGGGATGGTGGCAATCCTGGGGACAGGCAGGGGATCTTCTCCCCGGGGGGGTGGGGTGGGCGGGGGCAGCCTGAGGGCCCGGGGGCGCTGCCCAGCCCTGGGCATCCCAGGCTGCACTAGAGGGCAAGCCACCTGATTCTGGGGTACAAAGCAGATTTCCTTCTGGGCTTGCCCCCACCCGGGCTCACGGGGTGTGTGTGTGTGGGGAGGGGTCCTCTGTGCGACCCTTGGGGACAGCAGGAGGCCTGGGTCTGTGCTTGGCACTGGCCGTGTGAGAAGAGCCAGGTGTGGGGGAGCGATGTCTACTTTTAATGTTATGACTTTTTGTGCTGTCCGGAATTTTTATCCTGTGCATTAATGTGGGAACATAAAGTTAATTAGCATGGAAGAGGGGGCTCAAGCAAGGTGCCCCATCCTGCGCCTGGTCCGAGCACCCCAGGGCCCCAAGCCCAGCCCCGAGCCCTCTGAGCAAGGGCCGCTCCGCTGCTTCCCATGCTCGCGCCCCACCCTCGCCTTGGGGCCGGGAGCCCTAACAGGACATGGGACGAGGGACCCCGGCAGTTGCAGGGAGGCAGCTGGCTCATTTGTGTCACTACCTGCTTCCCGCTTCCTCCCGTGCGGCCCAGAGAGGACGCCAAGTGAGGCTGAGGGACATGCAGACAGGCAGCCTGCACGGTGGACAGCGCCCACAGCCCCAGGCGCAGGGAGCCCTCGGCAAGCCTCCCGGAGGAAGTCAGCGTCAAGGTGTCCCGGGTCCCCCACACTGTCGCGTGTTCGGCCCAGCGGTGGAGGCAGGAAGGAGCCGGGCCAGTGCGGCCACCAGAGGCCTGAGAAGGGCCACCAGGACAGGCCGGCTTCCTGGGCGGCCCCCGGGGAGGCGCAGCCCCCGCAGCCCCTGGCTCTGCCGCCAGCCTTGCCATTTCTGTGTCACCGCTCCGTGCCCTGCGAGGGAGGCCGATGGGCCCGAGGCTGCCGTGTCAAGCCAGCTCCCTCCTCCCCGGCCACCTCTCAGCCGCTGGGCTTTGCTCGCAGCCTCGCGGGAGCTCTGCTGGCCCAGCTGCTGCTGTCTTCGGCTCTGGACCAGAGCAGGGCCACGGCGCCTGGCGGTGGAGTTGGCGAGGACCCTGTACCCTGCCCGGGCTGCTGCACGGGACCGTGCTCCCCGGGGGCTCCGGGCCCCTCCCAGGCCGGCACTGTGTTTGGTGGGCTTGGGGCGTTTGAGAGCATGAGACCCCGCAGGTAAACCAGGGCCCCCCGCCCGCGTCCCCTCTGGTCTTTGCCTCCAGTTCTGAGATCTGAGCTCATCGCTGCTCCATCAGCAGATTCCTGCCCTGGCAGCACCAGCTGTCCTGGGTGTAGCCTTCGTTTATTGACCCTTATCCACGGCAGTGACAGGGTTCCAGCTCGTGACCTCAGAAGCCCGCCCCCCATGGGGCGTCAGGGTCACTGGCCCCCCTCACCCCGGCAGGGCCCCCCGCGGAGACGGGCCCGCCCCTGGGCTGCAGGACCGGGTCATTCTTCCGTGTGAAAGTGCTCGGGACTCGTAAGGGCTGTGTCCTCAGAGATGGGCCAAGAGCCCAGACTCGGCCTGAGGCTGGTGGACACTCAGGGGTGGGGAGGGTCCCCCTCGGGGCGGCACCCAGTGCCATGAGCCCAGGTGGCCCCCACAGCCAGGGGCTCCCCACATCCAACCGCCGACTGGCCGCACGCTGCCCTCTGGTGGCCGGTCAGGCTCCTGTGGGTGTGGCCCAGGACATCAGGTCCCTGTGGGGGCAGCACCTGCGGATGCTGAGGGTCGGGGAGCTGCTCAGGTGCTGTCACCCACTCCCCAGCTCTGGGCACCGAGGTACAGGCGGCGTGGGCCCAGGTGCCACATCCAGAGCTGGGTCCGGCCCGGCCAGAAGGGCTCGGCCGTGTGCCAGGTGCCCTCACTGCGTTCGTGTTTCGAAGACAGGGCAGCGGGGGAAGGGGTCGAGGCCACCCCGCCTGCCCTGTCCCTGGGGGCAGCTGGGACCCTTGGCTCCGCCCTCCGAGCCTCTCCAAACCGCCCCTGCGGCTCCTCCCCAGTGGCAGCGCCTTGGCAGAGGGGACCCTCCTCACTGGCACTGCCCCCTCGGTCCCCAGCACAGCCACACACCCGATTCACCGGCGAGTCTGCCCTTCTGAGGACAGGAGACTGAGGTGGAGAGGGACACGTTTGGGGTGCCGAACACCCCCTCCTACCCATGACATCAAACTGCCTCCTTCCTGGGGCTGGACACCGGTCAGCGATGCTTCTCCCCATGACAATGCTGCGCACGTGAGTTGTGGGGCCCCCAGCTCCCCCACCCCAGCCAGCCCCCATATTAGGAGGGACACTCTAGGCAGGGGACAGCCAGATGTGGGAGAGGGGCAGCAGCCTCGACAGCCTCAGCAGGTCTGGGTGGGGTGTGAGGGGCACTTGATTTAAGGATGGGGTGCAGGGAAGGGTACCAGTCAGGATGCACTGCGAGCCTGTTTCCCGCCTTCTAGAATGTCACGTATTTCTAGGCTCCCTGAGCCCCCGCTGTGTCCTGCTCAATCAGGAGCAGGTGTGATGCTCTGGCTGCCCCCCTCAGACAGCACCCTTGACCCCTGGCCCATTGACCCCCAGCCCACCCACTGTGGCCTCAGCAATGCAGGCTTGTCCCCAGCTAGGCCCTCCTGGCCGGGGGCAGGACCCCCACGAGACCTCACAGTGGCACTGGCCCCCCCCCAGCTACCTGCCTCTCCCTTGGGCCTGTTCCCGGACAGGAAAGTGTCCCATTTCCGCCCTCAGGACCCTGCCCTCTGTGTGTGGGGAAGGAGGGGGTGGGCGTGGGAAGGACGGGGTGGGCGAGGTTTGGCTCAGGAAGCCCTCCTTTCTGCTCAGCTCAGCATCCTGCCAGCCTGCCAGGGCCTTTCACAGTCTCCCAGCCTCAAGTGGGGTGTGTGTGTGTGTGTGTGTGTGTGTGTGTGTGTGTGTGTCTGTGTGTCTGTGTGTGTGTGTCTCTGTGTGTCTGTCTTTGTGTCTGTGTGTGTGTCTGTGTGTGTGTCTGTGTGTCTGTGTGTCTGTGTTTGTGTGTGTGTGGCTGTGTGCGTGTGTCTCTGTGTGACTGTGTATACGTATTGGTGTCTGATTGTATCTTTGTGCGTACGTCTGCGTACATGTATTTGGTTTGTGATTGTGTGTATGCGTGTTTGTGTGTCTGTACATCTGCGTATGTTTTTCTGTGTCTGTGTGACTGTGTCTGTGTGTGTCTATGTCTATATGTCTGTGTCTGTGTGCGTGTGTCTGTGTGTGTGACTGTGTCTGTGTCTGTGTGTGTGTGTCTGTGTGTGTGTCTGTGTGTGTGTCTGTGTGTGTGTGTCTGTGTGTGTGTGCGTCTGTGTGTGTGACTGTGTCTGTGTCTGTGTGTCTGTGTGTGTGTGTGTCTATGTCTATATGTCTGTGTCTGTGTGCGTGTGGTTGGGGCCAGCATTCTCCTGCTGGCCCGTTTCCCCAGGCTCCCACGGGTCTAGGTGTAAACATGTTAAGAGCTGGCTGCCCAACAGGGACATCTGTCCGTCCCACACACTAGTGCTGATCCCTCAGTGACAGGGTGGGTGGTGAGGACAAGTTGTTGGTCAAAGCCCAGGGTCCCCAGCTCTTCTGGAATTTTCTGAGAAGTGCACACACATACACCCCGGGTCTCCTCCCTAAGTTAATGTTAACTGTGAGATTTGCCGGAAGAGGCGGTTAGAAAGCGGCTTTTGTGTGGCTCGCTGCCTATTTTTAAAATTAATATGCAATTTATTAATGTTTCGAACCTCTAATCCTATTTCCTATGTCATACACTCAGACTGAAATTTTTATTATTGTTTATTCATCACTTCTAAGGAGTCTGATTCATGTTGTACTTCACCATAACTGAGACGGGGTCGTGCAGACGTGGTGTTAGTGAGTTCACTCTGTTTCTTCGTTCAGCTTCTGCAGTTGTTTAACAGAACAAACCGACTGAGTGGCTCTGTATTTCCTTGGCTTTTAAGATATCCAGCCCTCTACCCATCCATCTATCCATTCCTCTATACCCAACCATCATCCATCCATCCATCATCCATCCATCCATCATCCATCCATCCATCATCCATCATCCGTCCATCCATCATCCATCCATCATTCATACATATACCTATCTATCCAGCCATCTGTCCATCCATCCATCATCCATCCATCATCCATCATCCATCCATCATCCATCATCCATCCATCCATTCATCCATCCACCCATCCATCCATCCATCCATCTACCCATCCATCGTCCGTCGTCCATCATCCATCCATCCATCATCACAAGAGTCAGGAGCTGCCACGTCGCTCATCTGCAGCCCACCGCCAGGTTGGAATGTGAGCTAGGCTCCTCACTCACACCTCCCGGAGCTTGCAGCTGGGCAGGCCGCCCATGCAGGACCCCAGGCCTCCAGGGGTGCCTGCAGCGGTGGCCGGAGGGTTCCCTGCAGGGGACACCCCAGGAGAGACTGCCCACGGTGTGCACGTGCCACTTTCCTGGGCAAGAAGTGAGCCCGAGTCC